GTTCATGGAGAAGTGTTTTAACGAGCTGAGCCTGCCGCACACGCTGACGTCCATCGACCGCGGCCCCAAGGGGACGATCGAAGGGGTGATCATGCAGCCCAGCTTCGGCGGCGCCTCGGTCAACCCGCCCATCTCGGCGGCGACGCCGTACATTCCCGCAGTCAGCGAGGCGGCGCGGGCGATTGGATTAGTGGATACAATTGTAGTGGGGGAACCGCAACCACAGCCGGGATCGCAGCCGGGATCGGGACCGCAGTCGCAAGCAGGACCAACGACGAGAACGCTAATAGGGGAGAACGCAACCTGGAAAGGGATCCGGGCGACGCTGACACGCGACTACGTACCGTCAGCCTACCGAGGCCGAGCGGCGATCATCCTGGCCGGCTCAGAGAGCGACGCGTCGGCGGCGATCTATGCGCTCCGCAGTCTCGGGGTGGGATCGATCTACACGGTGGGATTCCGGGCGACGGGGCCGCTGGCGGCGGGACTGGAGCCATTCACCTCGATCCAGTCGGTGAAGCTGGTGGAGCAGCCGTTTGTGATGGTGTCGGCGCTGCCGCCGGAGAAGTCGCTGCTGGTGCAGCCGCTGCTGCGGCACTACCGGAGCAACGGGCGGACGTCGCCGCGGTCGACGCGGGGCAAAGTGTACCTGGATCTGACGGCGAGTTCGGGGGAGCGCAAGGGGGATCCAGTGGGCGTGGCGGTGAGTGCGGGCTGGACGGCGTACGGGATCGACGAGGTGACGGCGTGGACGACGGTGGAAACGATGCGCCTGCTGGTGGGACAGAATGTGCCGTTTGATTTTGTTCGGATGGCTTCGGGGAGGATTTATTAGATGCATTACATTCTATTCTTCGTATTGGATCATACGAGTCACATCTCTACAATCTATCTACAATCTATCATACCTTAGTTGAGATGCTGTCTTGGCTGGAGTAAATAATGTGGGGACCCCGGTATGTGTAAGTGTAACAGCCGGTATTCGGAGAGTGGCCGGTATTTTTGACTAGCCGCAGCGTTGAGGCGTCTTAGTGTTCCTGACTCTGACTGAGAGACTAGTCTAGACTAGATAGATAGGACTTGTATTCACATGAAGAGTATGAGTAGACCTAGTCAACAAGCTAAGACTATTCTGTATGGTGCCTTGACGATCGGAGACGCTTCTGCAAAGAGAAAAGAGAGTAAGAGACAGTGAGGCGGAGAGTCAAGCCATTGATGGCATGGTTTATCTATTCTATGCGCTGAAGAATCGAGTCAGGGGATAATGAATGACCTGCAGATGCTGACCTCGGGTCTTTGTCGACTGCGTAGTGCGTACTGCTTAGGGACTAGATCTAGGAGGTCCGTCTCAAATGGAGTAAAAGGCCAGTGGGCCACAGGACGGCAGCTCGGTCCGTGAGCGAGAGAGCGAGAGATTAATCTATTCGGTCGCAGCGAGGTGACATTGAATAGCGGATGAAGAAATGATCGACTTCCCCGGATTCTGTGTCGGTCTCATGTAGTGTTGTAGATGGATTATGGATACTCTGTCGACTCGACGGTTGACTCTCCGGTGGCACATAAGAATGACCATCTCAGGCTAAAGTTAAATGGGGCTGCACTACTTTGGCTGCACTTCTTTGGCTGGTCTCTGGCTGAATCATGGATCTAACCATGAATCGTCTCTGGTCCGGCACTAGACAATCCTCCGTCCTTCATCTCCATCTCCAGATTCCCCATGCTTCGTATTTCTTCCTTCTTTCTGCTGCTGCGATCCTGCACCGCTACTGCAGACTTGTCTGTGATCTTCGTCCCTGACTTACTTTTTGCTTTTGCATTAAACTACCGAGAGTCTTGACTCTTGAAGCCTTGGACTGATCCTGATCCTGCGTCTTGAGTCAATTTAATTGATTCTTATCCTTTTCCTCTTGCTTCTCGTCCTCTCTTCCTCCACTTCCCTTCTCTCTTTCTCAGTCTCAGTCTCAGTCTCAGTCTTCCCAATGTCTTGACCAATCTTTTAGAGTATCTATTCTATCTGTCATCAATTCATCATGTCCTCCGTTATTTCTCGCCCCGCCGTCAGTATCGACCGGCTCACTCCCCGCCGAGTCACTGCCGAACCGCGCGAGTCCATGAACTGCAAATCCTGTCGAAAACGAAAGGTAAGAACCCTCCTGTGTCTACAAGATCCAATTCTAATTTGCAGATCAAATGCAATCGTATGCGTCCCAGTTGTGAAGCATGCAAGGTCTTCCAATGCCCATGCATCTACGGTATCTCCACCTCCCCGTCATGTAAACGCCCTACTAATTGTATCGGCAGATGCCGTCCCCAAAAAACGCGGCCCCAAAACAGACGTCCTCGAAGCCCTGCTCAAGCGTGTCGACGGTCTCGAGAAACGTCTGCAGGATGAAAACAAAAATCCCATCTCGCCCACCTCCACCGTCGAGCCGGACAAGGAACCTCCTGATCCGTCCGCTTCGATCCACGCCCTCGCCCGCGCATCCACTACCAACATCCCCCCATCCGAGCCTTTTACACGGCCATTCTCCTTTCCATCGCAGCCGTCGCCTCCCGTGCATCATTTTGCCCTGCCCGATTCCATGTTGGATGCGTACTTTGCCCGCATCCATGGCAAACCCTACTTCATCCTGGACGAGTCGGTGACTCGTCAGAGTCATCAGATGGGGCAATTGCCTGCCGCTTTGTCCATGGCCATCTACGCCATTACTTTACGGTTTGTTTTCCTGTTCGTGCGTCTAGTTTCAGTACTGACCATTGCAGATATACAAGCTCGCCCAACACCCCCGAGCAGTCCCTTCGAATGGCCCTGGACTATGCCCTGCAGGCCCGACGCATTGTAGATGTCGATCAACCGACCATGGATGGGCTGCAAACCCTGCTTCTACTCTCGCAGACATACTTTGCCCATGGTCTGGGCAAAAAGGCCTATATGACTTTCAGTATGCAACCATCGCCTCCTGAATGACAGGATATTGATTGACTGTGCAGCCAACTGTGCCTCCATGGCCATTGCTCTGGACCTCTACCGCGAGCCCCCGAAGAGTCTGCCCGCTGCGGAACGCGAGATGCGCCGCCGGCTCTTCTGGGCCGTCTACATCATGGACCGCTTCCTCACCTGCGGCTCGAAACGGCCCGGCCTCATCGCCGACCACTCCATCGTCCTGCGGCTCCCCGCTTGGTCCCCGCATGCGGCCGGACTCAACGTCGAGGGCGAGCTGTTCAACACCGTCGGCCCCAACATCCAGTACTCGAGCGATCCGCGCCGCAAACCCGGGGCCACCGCCCTCCTCATCGACATCACCCGCATCCTGGGGATCACCAACCGCTACCTGGCTGCCGGCGGCGTCAAGGGCGACTCGCACTTTCCCTGGCACTCGCTGTCCAACCTATCCAAAATCCGTCAGGAACTGGACATCTGGGCCACGGGCACCCAGGACGTTTTTGCTTCTGTGGAAGCCCTGTTCGGCCATCCCGAGAGCTCCATCTTGCTGCTGAGCAAGCTTATCTATCATCTCGTCCACTGTCTGATCTATCGCCCGTTCCTGCCGATTGACCTGGTCGAGCTGCGCGGCACCGGCCAGCACCAGTCCTGGCAGATCGAGGCCACCAATCTGTGTTTTTCGCACTCCAACGCCATTGCCGAGCTCGTCGAGCTGGCCCGCAATTCCCCGCTGATCGAATGGCCCGCCTTTGTGGGGTACTGCGTCTGCACGGCGGGAACGGTGCACGTGCACGGCGTGCACTACAAGGGCCGCGAGGGCGAGGTGTTTTCGTCCAGCGCCGAGTTTCTTACTCGTGAGATGCACCAGCTGACCTGGCTGGGGTCCTACTGGGCCGGCGTCCAGCATCAGCGCGAGATGCTGCAGACCATCTACACCTGCCACGCCGAGCTGGTCCGCACTCTGGCCACCAGTCCCATGCGCTTCTCGCCCGTCTTTCACCTGGAAGACTTTTTGGACCGGTATCCCGGTCTGACGGCCGACGGGTCGCACGTGCGCCTGGTCGATATGGATGATACGTAGGTTGCCCTGTCCTACTCTGCCTCAGTATGTGATCTGACCACTGTAGCCCCCCATTGGACCCATACTACCGACCCATGACCGCATATCCCATGTACCATAACCAACCGGCCCGCGCGCCCGTCACCCTCCCATCCAACCACAGCCCGTCGCCGCGCCGCGACTCGCACAGCACCACCAGCACCGCGGCCAAGCCGCCCGGCGTCTCGTCCCCATCGCTCACCTTTCACCCCTCGCAGCATCTCCAGCCCTCGCCGCAACTACACTCTACGTTCGCGCTCGGCAACGCCGACCTGACCCATCCTTCTGCCTCGGATGCCAGCAACGGCCACCACAACAACCACAACCACAACCACAGCTTCTCCCCACCACCCCCATCAGCCATGTTCGGCTTCTCGCCGCCCGCCTTTCTAGCAGAGTCCCTGCATGTGGCGCCCACTCCGCCCGCGCACCCGCAGTACGCCACCTTCCCATTCGACAGCAGCAGCAACCATCACAACCACAACGGCCACACGATCATGACGCCCGGCGCGCAGTCCCAGGCCAGTTCGTCCCAGACCGGCGGCGCAGGCGGCGGCAGCGAGGCGGGCTCGATCGAGAAAGACCCCTTCCTGAGTCTACTCGAGCAGTTGGCGGAGAACGAGCAGAATTCCGCGGGCGGGCCGAGTGAATTGGATTTCTTCCTGGGTGGGGTGGATGTCGAGGTCGGCGAGAAGGACTAGCTGCCTGCCTGCCTTGGCCCTCAGTCTCTCTGTATGTGGAATATGAGTGGTGTATATATGATGCGTAACGATATGATACCCAAAATCAATTTATCAAGACCGAGTAACACCACGGATTGATACGATATGGAGTTACGTCATCGACTGCCACCCACCATCTATCTACACTACAACAACCACCTCGACAAAGCAGAGCAAGACAGAAAGACAAGAGACCAACATGAAATGAAATCTACAGTAAAAGCCCACATCCACAATGCCCACCCCATCCGAATCACAAGACCAACCAACCTGGCCCTCCATCCTCACCACCGCAAAACACACCCCGCGCACCTCAACACCCAAACCCGACCTCCCCTCCGCCGAGCAACAATCCCTCATCGACGCCCTGCGGTCCCTCCCCCTCACAAACCCCCCAGACTCAAACTCAGATGCAGATCAATCGGACCTAAAAGCCGCCATCGCCGATATTCTATCCGAATACGAGGACGAGGACGAATCCTCGACCTCAACCGAAAGCAGAAATGAAAGCAAAAAAGAAAAAGAACAATGGGAAAACCTCCACGCCTTCCTGGCATTCATCACCAAAGAGAGCATTGTTCGGTTAGAAGATGTAGGGATTCATGTCTTGAGGGTTGCGCTGGAGAGGGGCGAGCACCACCACTATCATCACAGTCACCACCAGCAGGGTCCTGCTGTTGGTGTGCCCCCCGGGACCGGGAAACGGAAAAAGATGGCGGTTTTCGTCTCCTGTGCGGCCATCTGGGCGTTGGTCATGGGGGAGGAATTGTGGGAAAGGAGGCATGAAACTGAAGAATTCCCCGTGGGATTGTCGCTGTCGCTGTCGCCTTCGCCGCGCGAGTCTGGTGCTGCGGGGGACGCCGCGGCCACTGTCTCCAAAAGCCGCTGGCAGATGTGGATTGATCGGTTCCAGTTTCTGAGTCTGGCCGATGATCTGGACATCAAGACTAGGGAATTGGCTGCCGAGGCCGCTGCCGTGATGCGTCGGGTGACTTAGTCCTTATATACGAGTGGTATCTCATTCCTTGTATATACATCTTGATACATCTGCCTATGCATACATGCATCAACCGAATCTGATTCCGTCGCTGGGATCCCATTGCCCCGGCTGTCCTCGGCTGTTCCCTCCCCCGAACCGGATTCCCACCTCTGGCGACCACATGCCAGGCGTCGGGACTGCGGGCGGTGCCACCGGTGCTCGAGTCGGTTGCGGCGCCGTCAGTGGTTCTTCTGGTGGTCGTGATGGTTGCACCTGAACGGGTGCTGGCGGTGACGATAGCTGTGATGGCTGCGGCTGCGGCTGCGGCTGCTGTCGGAAGTGAGGTTGCGAGATATTCAACGAAGCCATCGCTGCAGCACTTGCAATATCACTAAATCAATCAGTATCGCACCTAAACCGCTTGAGAAGTGAAATACCTTTCTAGTTGACTCGCCTCCATGCGGCGCTGGTGCATAAATGCCTTGCAGTCATCCCGGAACCTCCCCACAATCTTGGCCAGATCGTTGTAGAACTTCCGGCCCACTTCGATGTTCGAGATGATCTCCTTATACTTCAGATAGCCATTCTCCAGCTCCTGCAGCGCCTTCTCCCGCTCCTTGGTCGACGCATCCCCCTTGTGCGCCCGCGTGAACGCCCGGTTGGCTTCGCGCACCTGCGCCGCAATCTGGTCCTGATCATGCTGCTCCTGCGCAACCAGCTCCAGGTCCGGGTCGTACAGATGAAGCTGCTCCTCGAACAGATCCTCAAATTGGCTTGCCTGGATCGGCTGCATGGGAAACTCCCGCTCCAACCGCGCAGTCTCCTTCAAAAGCGCCTGCGTGATATCATCCCCCCGAGCCTTCTCCTTCAACGCCTGCGCTCGCCGCTTCCTTCGGCTCTCCAGCCGACTCACTTCGCTCAGGCATCCCCGCAGCCGGATCAACTCGCGCTCCACCTCCGGCGGGATTGCAGCGCGCCGGCTGCTGGGAACGTACATCTCCAGGTCGCGATTGGTGCCTGTGAGCACCCGAAAGATCGCCTCCGAGTCCCGTAGCTTCTGCTCCACGAGATTGTCGCTGCTTTGCGCCGACGTAAAGTACCCGCTGATCTCGCTCGACGTGGTATACAGTTTCGGCGCCGCCGCCTCGGACGTCTGCCGGGTCCATCGATCGGTCCCGTATTTCCGCCGTGAAGCATCATCCTCCGCCTTTTCGGCCGCCAGCAGCTCTACTCCCTCACTGTAGACCGCCCTGTCGTTGGCCTTGACCTTGGCTATATCTTCAAGCGACCTCCGCAGCCGGTGCAGCCCGTCCTGCTGTCGCATCTCCTCGGCATGAGCTACCAGCGTTGGAGGCAGTCCAAGCGGCTTTTCAAGCGCCTGCAAAGATCCTGGCAAGTTTAGCGACGATAGCAAACTAAATAAAAGTCAGCGTAATTCCACTAACGAGTGGCCAGCCATTAAAGTGTTGCCAAGAACGTACTCTCGTAGTTTGTCCGTCATGGTCTCCAACTCCCCAATAATCCTCTCGTTGACCAGTCGGTCGCGGCGGTCCGAGTAGATACTGGCCGCAATGTGAACTGCATATGGCACCAATTTGGCAAACAGCGGCTGCCCCAAAGGCCCGTTCTCCCCCAGCATGGATATCGCATCCGTAACCTGAGATGGCGCCTTGGCCGCAACCATACACGCCCGGTCGATGATCTTGAGCTCCGACTTTGGAGGCACAGGGTTGAGATAGATGACATCATTGTCCTTGGTCGCCCGCTTAAGGTCCTCCGACACACGGCTCTTCAGCCCATTGAGATCCCCCAGCACGGCCCGGTTTATCCAGCGAGTCTCCTTGAGCGCCTCGTTGACGCACGCCTCGCTATCCCGCAGGCGCGCCACTTCCTCGCCGTACTTTCGCTTCTCCAGGCAGTCCAGCGACTGCCGGTATTGCGCCGCGGCCGCAAAGTGATGGTGCTTGGCCGTCATGTGGTGGATCCACTCAGGGCTGATCGCGTTGGACTTGACCGCGTAGTCGCCGGCCTCAGCGTAAAAGTCAGAAACCTTGGCCGCCAGCCGGGCGATCGATGCATCCTTCAGACCGTCCTTGACGGCCTTTTGCCAGAAACACTCTTGTGCCTGGGCCAGAAGAAGTTGCTCCAAACTCTGCAGGGTCATTTCATCCATGTCCTCAGGCGGGGACGTTCGCAGGTCAGGCAGGATATCGGCTCGTAGGTGCAGGAGAACCCCGGCAGACTGGCAAAAGTAATTGCATGCCTGCTTGAGTCCGTCGGAAGTCGTCCGGTTAACCGAAAAGGCTAGCTGAGAGTATAGCGCCGCCAGATTGAAAAGGACGTTGGCCAATTCGAAGCGAAGGTTATTCTGTGAAACTTGACGGACTGTCAGTGCTCGTCCCTGGTATACCGCTGTAATCACATACTAGGTCTCGTTGTATTGAATCCAAAGGCGGGATACCACGGGAATTCCACCCCTACCTGTCACCCTCAGTCAGCAGGCCGTACACGCAGAGACGTTGTTCCAGTACACTCACATCAACCGGAAACTTCCCACCTAGCCATTTCAGTTGCGCCGCATACGTGACCAGTCGACTGATTCCACTGACATGGGGCTCCTGGACATAGATCGCCTCATTTCGCAAACGATCGATGATTAAGAGATCATCTGCGAACATATCCGGTCGCTGGTCATATTTGGACGAAATGTATTGAGTGATCGCATCGGACAAGGAGACGGCGTGGGAGCGCCGAAATGGAACCTGAAGGATGTTGCTAAGCAAAACATCAGTAAACGCATCAATGAAAAAGTTTCAGCAGCACGTACGATGTCATTGTGGTGGTTGAGGCATGGGAAGCATCGCAGGCAAAGAGGCCGCCGTTGGGAACTTTTTGTTGACAGCAAGACGCCCAACCCCGCCTGCCTGGCCTGGCAACGGATGACGTCCTTCTGCCTGAGGCAATCCACATCCGTACATTAATATTTAGAGGTCTATTTTTTGATATCATCATCCTGGTATTTGCTACGAGCTTCTAGCTCATGTATTTACGTACTCGAAACATAAGCCCAAACCATGCAAGAAATACAATGCATATATCCCAGTGCCCCAAAGACCAGCTTCGCTGTTTGCAAGAAAAATCAACAATGCAATTTCCGCTAGCCCTCCAGCTGGTTGATCCGCATCTTGATGTATTCAAACATACTCAGGAGAATCATATTGTTGACTCCCGTACGAATAAGAATGATCGATAGACCTTTGTACATACTCGACCTGGAAACAGCCGCTGATGCCTCGCCCACCTCCTTGGCCTTGCCAAGCAGCACGCTCTGGGCACGGGTCTTGCGGGTATCAAGTGGGTAGGTCTGGCAAAGGTTAGCAAATTGACCGTTTCATTAGAACAAAAAATTGCCTTACGCAGAACCAAGGCACGGTGCTACAAATGGCACCGGCAATCATCGGACCTCCAAAAGGAGACTTGTCCGGTCCGAGTTCCCTTGCCGCAACCTGCTTGACGGTTTCGTAGACGCTGAAATACAGGCCGGATCCAATTGTATCGCGCATCGCATGGAGATGGAAACCCGTGTACAAGCCGCGAAACCCGTAACGGCAAACAATCTGCCTGATCGCCTCGATGGTGCCAAGACGTGGTTTGTTGCGCAGAGACGGGTCCCGGACCGCATCGGGAGACGCCTGAGCACGATGAGAGACCAAGACCGATGTCTGCACAACATTCTTGGCCAGCTCAAAGGGACCTACCGAATCAGCCATTGTGGCGGTTGAATTCAATCGCGAAACTTACATGCAAGCGGAGCGGTTATGAGGCCAGCAATGAAGCCAGCGGTAGTGAAGGTCAAAAGAGTGGACACAGTGGGACTGCTGCCTGGCGCGTTGTAGGTTGCCAGAGGAGACTCGCCGGTAATTCTCTCGACAAACTCGGAGATACGGTGTTTGGCGGCGTTGTACGTGGAAAAATTCACGACACGGACCGCGGTGACACTTGCCAGAGGAGGCAGAGCTCCTGCATTTCGAATATTAGATCATGCGTTGCGTAGAACTCAAGAGCGATGTCGACCTACCAGCGACGTAGCCCCGTGGTCCCTCGGTACGCCAAAGGTAGCGAACACATTGGAAGACATTTTGGAAGTTGTGCCTGCTCCGGTCAATTCTGCCCCCTCTCTTATTGCAGTGAATTTGCGGAAAGAAATAACATACGTCTGCATACGGGTCTTGATATTCTCAAGAGGAGTCTAGGGGGAAACCAGACATATCAGTATCCATCCCCGCCAGGTCGACAGTCGATAATCCGAACTTACCACAGAGAGAGTCGCGCAGATTGTCGAAGTCGCCGACGCCACCTGGGTTTTGTATTTCTTCAAGAATTTGTTACGTGTGGCATCATCCATAATCCAGGTGTTGTCCGCTCGCATTGTGACAGTGGAAGGTTGTGGAGGTGAAGACACAAACGGCGCATGTTCAGTGTGTTTGTCCAAAGTCATCCCTGAAAGTTGCCCATCTGGGGCAGAGGATAGAGGGGTTCTGCTACAATTGATTGCTTAGTCGTGAGAAGTCAGGTGCGACGCGCAAACATTCAATATCGTGAGCAGTAGGCTGGGGAACCCTATGGAACGCAAAGCGGTCTCTCAGGGTGCGAGCAGACCGTTCAGCGTCCCACAATTGTCCATGAAGCGGACTGAAACAGCCCTTGTATGTGGTCTTTCTTCCGTCTTTGAGGAGGGCCAGAAGATAGGATGACCGGCAATGGAGGACGGCGAACTGGCAGAACTTTGGCGACAACGGTGATCCACAGAGTCTTGGCCTGTCTAGGGCATTCAAAAGCTTCAAACAGACGAGGCAATTCGATCGCACTATACCACGGCAGTGACAGAGCTTCAATCAGCAGGTCTTCTTCGACATCTCTCCCTTTTGCGGGCAAGAAAGAAAATCTCGAAACTCGCATGGGGCGGACAATCCACAATCAAGCACTTACCTCGTGAAGTTGATGTCTCCTCTTCGGTG